AAAATCAAAATCATTGCAAGGAATGAACAACCATCTTGACCAAATGTCAAATAGCTTGTCAATTTCTTGTGTGTTACTATCTTTGTTTGCAACTTCCAATAAAAAAGCCTAAAAAAGATCAATCAAACATTAATAAACATTAAAAAAAATAGAAGGTAGAGCTATTATTTTTAAATATGATTACTTGAATTATATAGTGAAATTAAATTATGAATCTTTTATAATGAGCAGCTACATTTATAATGATATAGTAACTAAACAGCCGAAAGATACTTACACTTTGAGAGACACCAAAATATAGTTCTTGAGGTCCATGTGCACTACTCTTCTGGTTTTCATTAAGCAACAAAGCCCAACAATCAATAATACCAGAAGATATAGCAATAGTCGGTTCACCTAATGAAAGGAATTCATTCCTTGTAATCTCAAATAGTTTGCCAGAAGATACCAACACCTCACTGTACAAGGAAATAAAAATACACATGTATATTAGCATAGTCACTTATTATTAAAATTTGAAAAATAAATAACAAAAAGAACCATGACATGACTTACTTGAGATTGAAACCATGGTAATCACTAATGTAGTAGTCAACAAGTTCCTGGACAACTGTATCCAAAATCTTCATATCCTTATTACTTGACTTCATATATTGAGTTACATATGTAACTTTATCACCAATTAGACTAACATCCATAGCAAGGGAACATTTAGATTTTCCATTACTCAAAACATGCTCAAAACCTATCCTTGGAACTTCACCAACTACAACATTAATCTCTTTTGCAGGTGCACCATTATCATCAATATCAATACCAACATCATCCAAACCATCAGGCATTACAAGAGACACAATCTCATCAACAATATCATGAACACGAGGATCCATAAAGAATAAATCGCTTTGGGACATTGGAGGTATCAAAGTGGAAGCATCATTAGGTTTACGAGTCTGAAATAAGACTTTCAACTCATCCATGTAGAAATTTGATACCACTTCCAAATCTCTTTTCACGAGCAAAAACTTTTTATAAACTTCCTATGAAAAAAAATGTAGCACTTAGATTTAGTAAAATAATTTGTGACCAAAAAAAAAAAAACAAAAAAAAAAAACGGGATTAAGGGCAAAATACTTACATCAATAGCGATTGAACGGATAACCTCATTAGAAATTGAACTAGCAGGTAGCTCAAACTGAATAACACCCTTAACATTGCTACGAACACCTTCATTAACAAGAGCTTCCTTGAATTGATTATTAACAACTTGTCCATCCTCAAATTGCAGCTTCTCGCTCACTGGATATGTATCAAACTCAAGAATGCACCACCTCTAGTTCTCACCATATGAATATAATCTAATCCAAATCGAATGAAATGAACAAAAAGTGAGAAAATCATTTTGAATTATTCCGAATAAAATATATACATTGGTACAAGTTGGACATGTCCATTTCAAGGCCAGAGTAGGAGTCATAATTAAGTACACCAGCATACATCTAAGTTCATGCAACTGCTCACCCTTCATCAATTAAATATTTTTACGGGCCTCGGTTTCTAGTAACTCATTGAATTACTGACATTTTGGTGAGTATGGTGACATTACAAATGAAACAGGAAGATCACTTCAAGTTTACAAGATTACTCTGTAAGTGTATTACTGGGACTTTAGTAATTTACTACGAAATTTGCTTGCTTCTCAGTTTTTTAGAATTTAGTAGCCAGATCCTAGAAAATACAGTGAAGGCCACAGAATGAGGAACTTTGAATAGAGTTCACTTCTTTTGTTCATTCGTATTCTCAATTTATCTGGAAACCTTCCAAGTTCAACCATTATCATGCATTATGCCACATTTATAACCACTTTTTCGTAAAACAAGAAGATATACTTCCTCTGTTTTCTTTTATAAGAAAATATGGTATACTGCTTTTTGAGGTGCAATGAAGAAAACAAAGTGGCATTTGACTCGGCCCATTAATTCATCAAGCTCTAACATTTTTTTTTTCTTCCAAAAATCTAACAATAACCAAATGAAATTCAACAAATTTAAAACTCAAATTCAACTCATTGATTCTCAAAAATGCAATAATATCTACACCTGAATACAATTGAAATCAATCTAATAAAAAGTATCAAACATTCAGAAGTAATAAAACAAAGCGCACTCCTCATCAATCAACAAAAGAAAAACAGAGCAAAGATTTCGATCAATAAAAAAAAATGAGTAAAAAAAATCTGGAAAAAAAAACTCTGAAATTATCAACTATCATTGATAAGTTATGATCAGATTTTCATGCTTCACTAATTTGATCGGCAAAATTCAAAATCACACTAAGGAATAAGGATCTCAATCGCTAAGAACTAACAAGAAAAGAATTAAACAACTAAAAAACAAATCGATTAACAACAATCAACAAATCGATTTACAACTAGTAAAATAATTAAATAGGCAATTTAACCAAGCCAATCAAAAAACAAAAAATAAAGAAAGAGGCAGACAAATTATAGCATATTTAATGACAAGATCGAATCGCATGAAATCCAAGCAAACAAAATTTCAGAAACTTAAGTACCTCAAATCATGCAAAAAATAGCGAAATTAACACAAAGAACTCACCTGATAATAGATCGCAGAGTTGAGAAATTGCTGAAAATCAAAGTAATTGAAGCTGGATTTGAAAAAGTAGCATGAAAATTGGGGGAAAAAATTTCGAGAAATTAGGAGAGAGAAAGTAGGAGAGAGAAGGTAGAGGAGGAACCTACATACATGCAAATGAAAGAGGAGAGAGAAATTGTAGACATTTTGCATGATAATTGGGGGAAAAAATCTCGACCGTAAGATTTGATGGGTCAATGGTAGATCACAATCTACGTTTAAGATGTCATGTTTTTAGTTTTCAGCGTAAGGTTGGTTTTCACATGATCCAACTCCTATATATATTATAATGTGGTATTTTGTTAAATTCGTCTCAATTAGTAACTTTTAAACGTCAATTATTATTATGCATTATTGAAGGACCGATATTAATGTTAAAGTATGCATTTTATCCGTTTCTTTTTACTTGCAACATCACTTCAACTTACACTATTCATATACGCTCTATAAAACTTTATAATTTTTACTTATTGATATTTAAATATGATAGTGTATAAAATATATTTCTGGACCTCAACCATAAGTTTAATTTTTTTTTTGTTGAGATGGCCTTTTAATGGTATTCGAATCGGCACGACAAAAGGTCACGAGTTCAAATTTAATTCGCCCCTCATTTTAAAGTGGAGTATTAAGCGCTGGGTATGGTGGAGTTCATGCTCATCTAGTCATCCACAATCTATAGCTCGATGAGCCCTCTTGTGAGGGACGTGGTAGAGTGTAAAATCTAAACCTGGTTTTCAACCATTAGCTTAAACTATACCTTTTGGTAGAGTTGGTCCTTTAATAAAATATATTAATTGTGGTAGCGCACGATAGCCCAATTTTATGATTAATATTTATAAATTTTGCGTTAATAATGATTATTTAGTTCGTAATGTACTGCACGATAGGCTAACTTTGCTAAATACTTGTAATAAGTTTATTATGGTTAATGTATACATAATGAATATTTGTTAGTATTATACTTGTACCATATTGCTTACGCTAGAAATGTTCATTTAATTGCGCAACTATGTAATTTTATATAATATACTTGTCTGTAGATTATTTATGGAATAGTTTGTAAGGGAAAAAAAATGTTAATTTGATTGATGGGTATGGGAGCAAGTATATTATATATCTATTTGATCAAATGATAAGAAAATTTGAGCAAGTATAAAAAAGTTTTGAGGATTGAGGAGTGGAGGGATGGTTGGTTTCTCTATCTTCTCTAGGCGTGACCTGGGTTTAACTCCTCATCCCCCTCCTGTGATCGATTAGATATGTTGATATTAAGTTGAGCAATGTAATGTAAGAATGCTTGTGGTTTAGCGGTATGATGCACATATTTTATAGAGAAGGTGTGGAGTTTGTTATTCCTAGTGTTTTTTTTTAGGTAATCCTAAATTCCTAATTCTTATATTTCTACTTCATAGTTTTAATTTTTTGCAAATTCAAGACTCTAACTACTTCGTATAAATTTGAGAATTCTTGACAAAAATTTGTGGATCGATAAGATTAAAGTATATTTATTCCTAAAATGTACAAGTTATCTTTTTTAGCTTCTTGCCTTCTTATATGTAGTTCTAATAGCCGATAGGACTTTGTTTATCATTTTCTTATTTTTTTAAGTCTTTTATTGTTGTTAGGAGTATTTTTTTTTTTTCATACGATTAATTATAAAAAGGCCCAATTTTATATCATCGCACAGGGACCCCAAATTTCTTTGCCACGCCCCTGTACAGAAAGAAATAAATGAGACGATAGATATTAATTTAGAATTAAATAATTTTATAATAGTGAGAGAAGATAGTGAGGAAAATATTGAAAAATGGAATGGTGGGGATCAATAGTGAGGACCAATGTATTAAAACATTGTTAAAACTTTCCAAAATTAGTAATAAATCACTTATTAAAAATAGAAGGGCTTGGTTCTTTTTTTTTTTTTTTTTTTTTTTTTTGAAAGAGTTTTCTAGATCACTTATATTGTATTCGTATTACATACTTATTGCTACAATTATGTAGCAATTAGCACCCTCTTCCGTTTAGACATCAGCTCGGCAGAAAATAATGCTGCATAGGAGATGAGATACCTCCAGGGCATCCTGACAAAGTTCAACCCTGGAATCTCTATTCAACTCTAGAAGCAACAAATTAGAAAACACTTTAGCAAATAAGTTGAATAAATACGGCAAGATAGGCCATCAGCTTTATAAGCACATTGTCGAACTACTAGATGATATTTCACACGCAAAGAGCTTGCATATAGAGCTACTCGTAGTAACTAGTAAGATATAAGCTTCTCACCCACCTCCTAGCATGTAGGTGAGTTGTATTTTTATGATTGTTGTTCTAAAAACAATATTTAGTCATCATCGGATAAACAGTTTGATGCAATGCGAGTTAATCATATACATTGAGAGAACAAAGTCATGATACATAGAATTTGGGTATAGCATATACACATCGAACCAAAAAAATCATTAACCAGATAAGAAGCTCAATACAACAATAAAGGGTTACAGAGCATATAACTTCCCTATAATTATCAACCTTGACTCCCTATGCATTCAGAAATTCCACAGCTTCACGGCTCAGAGTTAAACTCATTCTACTCATTACTTCCGAAGTTCTGATGATGGTAGATGGTTCTGGTATTGTAGAATGCATAACACCCAATTCCCATTTCAAAATATCATATACGGGCTCTGTTCAGTCAATTCTTCCTTTCAATAGTCAGACAACTTACTATCCAAATCTCACATTCAGACTTCCGTCATCAAGCATATCCAGCATAAATAAAGAAAGAATCCAGAAGGAAATGATTCCTTCACCTGTGGACATTCATAGATGAGCTTGAGCATGCTCAGGTTTGTGAGTGTATTCATAATCCAGGTGAACAAAAGCACGTTCAATCTCAGGTAAGAGTTCAAGTTTCTCTTGCAAAGTTTCCCCAATGTCATGCGCTTCTTGCAGAGGCATGCTTGCAGGCAGTACTATGTCAACCTCGACAAAGTAGTGGGATCCAAACGTGTATGCTCGAACTGTATCAATGTGCCGGATTGCCTTGTGGTGGTTCCAACACAGGTATGTTAATTTCTGCAGGAAGTCTGGTGTAGCAGATTTTCCAACCAATGAGTTGACATTTTCCAACACTGTCATTGACCAAGTACGTATTGTGTACAAAGCAAGCTACAAGAAGAGAAAATGTCTATGAGCATTTAAGTATATTTAATACGAAATAATGAGTTTAGGGGGAGGAAAAAGCATGTATTCATGATCAAATTTGCAAAATATTAGAAAGCTCTGAATTAAGGGAGCTGTAAGAACTTCATACCAATACGGAATCTTTTTGACAAAGAACCACGTAACAATGTAACATGGGCTTGCTGACAGTAATACTAATCATTATGGTTCGCTCAATAAGAAATAAAGATTGAATTTGAGTATGTCCAAAGAAACAAACACCCTTACCTCAATACCAAGATCAAGTATCATGCGTTTTTTGAACAAGTTCACCTCATCCCTCCTACTAGACAGCTACATCATATTCACAATACCAAGGACATCCAAACTCCAAGAGACCCCTAATACATGTTCAAGAGGTCATGCCAACATTCCAATACTCAAGAATCCTACAACCCTATGTTAAACATTGGCATGCCAGCTTCTCAAACATTAGCTGGACAAACCACACTCCTTAATCTGAACAAGATGATAAGAGAATCTCTAGAATTTTCCTTCATATAGAGTATAGACCACCATTCTATTATCCAAGACCTAACACTAGTTGAATACAAAGTAATAGATGAAGTATAGCATATAGTTTACATAAAAGTTTGAATTCAACATTAGAAAGTGATGAGCAGTTTTATCATATTACGTACTTGTTTCACAGTATATTTGAGATACATTAAGGTTATGAAGTTGACCCCTACTATCTTAATGTATCCATATAATTACACTGCCAAGATGTTATTTTTATCTGATAAAAAAAAAAAAAAAAAAAAAAAAAGTTGATGAGTGTAGTTTATAATTATAGCTAATATATGGCTGTCTTCCCACCTTATATCCCATTATGTGAACTTACCTCTTTAGCATTAAATTGAACATATTGGCCCTTATAAGTTTACATCTTATTGATACTTGTTTGAACTGACTGACCCCTATCTAAACTTTGACCCTTGTGCATTTATGCGTTATGCAAAAGTATCTTTATTGAAACCTTTCTTTTAAGGTGGAACGAATCAAAGAGCAAGCCATAATGGTGATAAACAATGGTCAAAAGTTTAGCCAACACGATTGCTTTGAAGCATCCAGAAAACTGTTTTGAAGCATTGGAAATATTAAATGTTTATTTGGTTGGAGGTACAAAGCTACTTTTCTAAAATGATAGGCACTGTTGGAAAAGTTTTTTCTTGTGAAGTTTAAAAACCTGTTTGGTTTGACGTAGGACATAGAGGCTCTTGTAGTTGTGAGAACTACTAACATATGTAGGGAGAGTGAGCAACAACTTGATTTTGAAGGTAGAAAATATACCAAAAATACTTGCAGATTGTTATGAAACAAACAACTTCATTAGTTATTATAATATCATTCCAACTTTAATACCAACATCAACACATGATCTAAACTACATTACTAACACAACTCAATGTACTTAAATTAGAATGTAAATAGTAAATAGTTTGAGAGTTATGGTTTTCAAGAAAATTATCATACGACCATACAAATAAAAAAATACTTATCGAATAATTATCAAGTATTCGAGTACCCGTTACTTTAAAATGATACTCGTAATAGTATCTAATAGAGAAATTGAGTTCTCAATATGAAAACCATATTGGTTTATGTATCCAAAATTTTGAATCGAATATTGGATTTAGATTTTCGGTTAATTTCACTTGAGATGGGGGTGTTTGTTGTGAGACAGGGGGAGTTTGTTTTTTATTCACTAGTACTCAACAAAACAAATGGTGGTCAGGGGGTGTTGTTGTGAGACAAGGGGAGTAACTACTTACAACGATATATAGTATACAAAGGCACTACTTGAAGTCGCAAATGCCTTTGACCCTTAATAATCACTTTCAGCTCTTCATGAGAATTTCCTATAAGTAACTACTTAGAAGATAAAAAAGCAAAGCATAAAAAGACATTGCTTGAAGTCACCAGAAACATCCAATCTAACCTGGTTATGGCATTAAATTACAGATAAAATTACTGTCTTACTGCAAAGCAAAATATGGAAGAAAGAAATTACTGATTGCACTTACAATGATAGCTCCAACAGGATCCATCCAGTCACTAACATAATTAGCCAGGAGAGCAGCAATAAGACCAATTATGTTTGTAATAACATCAAAGAAGTGGTCCTGGGCATAAGCTTTGACTATCTCATTAGTGAAAGAGCGGCAGTAAAGGACCAATAGAAGTTTAACAACAGTAACTGAAAGCATGATGCCCACAAGCCAGCTTTCTTGTTCCTTATTCAAGCTAAAATCACTCTCCTGAAACAAACAATTTAACAGTACATCATTTGCAAAGCAGATAGAATTGTGAGAGTTCAATAGACAAAAGCAATGATGATTCAGATGTGTAAAAACCCAACTACAAATCTACTTTATGACAAATACTTCTTAAAATATGACTTACATCAGATAAAAGCTGCCGAGTAGACTCCAAGATAATCTGCAATCCTAGCGTAGCCATGACAGAAGCAAAAACAAGAATTCCCTGCCCAAAAACATTTCCAATATACTAAATATTAGTGATTCTCTCACAGAAGTTGACATTGAGTCCACCAAATTAGAAGAAAACAAAATGAGCCAGTACAGGCAGCTCAAGCTATTTCAATAGTTCAGGCACGAATGTAATTACCAGCATCAAAATAAAAGAAAATAATAAAAAAACAAATAAAATTGACAAAAATGCATGCTATAAAATCAGCATTGTTAGTGTTGGATAAGTATACACAGTTACGATATTAGTTGAAGAACGGAAAATTATTTTTAAGCTTCTTGCTAAACAAACTTGACAAGAAGGGATAATTATGCCCCTTTTTTCCACTATATATCATATGCATCTCCAGCTAAATTATCTAGCAGTAGATTTCAAAGGCATACATACAATAGAACTGCATGGTGCTCCCCCTGGTCCATTTTATTTGTTACGCATTCCGATTAGGGTAATCCCCTTTGCTAAAATTTGGAATCATTCTACTTATATCATAAATCTAGTCTTTTTTTTTTTTTCCTTTCAAATTTACCTCTAATTTTCCACTAAAATCTGTGTCCCTCTAATAATTTATTCGTCAAATCAGCCTTTACTTACCTTTTGCCTAAGAATCATAATTCAAATCTCCCATATCTATTCCTTTTATCCATCACAACCACATCTCTCACTTCATATCCCCTCCTTTCCGTGTATTATGATGCTATGAAAAAAAAAAAAAAAAAAAAAAAAAAAACCAAAGTGTTAATGGCTGTTTGATGAAAATCAGTGGACTACAAATTTTTATTTATTTTATTTGGCTGTAAATGCCACCTTGTTGCTCATGACAATAAGTATCCAAGTGCTGATACCATGAGCAGCAATCAATACGTTAAAATCTTTATTTTTTATAGAAAATAAATAAATAAATTCTAACCCCACTTGGTTTTGCCTTATAGTGAGATATTCATATTGAACATCACTCAACCTAGCCTTTATAGTTTTCTAGCAACAGAAACTAACATGACCTATCCATAGTATATGTAAACAATAAAAAATCATAACAATTACCACACTACTAATCTAACCAACAAATATTAATGTTTCACATTATAATATACAATCATAGGTTCATAATGTGCATCCAGTAGGTGAAGAGTGCAGTATCATAATTCTTGACACACTGAGTCATTTCAATGAGGTGGTCCATTACAAGAGGGAAGCCTTAATGGAAAAGGAAAAAAAATATGAGGACTGCTACTGTTATATGGAGTAAACAATAAGGAACCAGCTTCTATACATGTTCTGCATACAAAGATAATATTTTTTTTCTTTGAAGGGCGTTCAAGGATAATGGAGAGGATATTAATTACATTATCAGTTTATCAGGGCCTGAATTCCTACCTTAACTAATCAACCAAGGTGAGACTATGCATAAATCATATTGTATGATTTGCATCTCATCAATACACAAAACATTATTGGCTGATCAACCACAATTAGAGAAAAATGTTTGGGATTGGTAATGTCGAATATAGTAATAGAAACAATCTGATGTTCCCACAAGCTCTTGGGTCCATTACAGTTTGTACTAATAGCTTTTAAGACCAAAGTTAATCAAAGACAGAAATAGTAAGCATCTTTTGGGTGGCCATCAATGAAGTCAAAATTTTAATTATACTATATACTACTCCCTGGTCTCCCTCTGTCCTAGTTCATTGAAATTTCTTTATTCATCAACCAATATCATCTTTCATGCATGAGGAAGCACAAGATTCCTTGTCAAATCTTTAAGATATGGGGAAATTGCATTACTCCATTCAACAGTAGGAGATTATACAGCCTACATGGATTCTTTACCATAGCCTACATGGATTTAGGAGGAGAGTCAAAAGTAAATCAAAAGCTTTCCAAAGCACAGCCCTTACTAACCCACTAGGTACAAAGGAACACAAACTAATGCTTTTGGAATAAGCAACTTTATTTACTTCAACCATCAAAGATACTTTACAATTGAGTATGTATTCCTATTACCTAAGACCCTATTTAATTAGGAATGTCCAAAATGCCCCTATGTATGCCGAAATCATCCTACCAATGCCTTTGTGAAGGAAGGGATTCCACTCTCAAAGATATGTCTATCAGCTTCAGATAATGTTTGGCAGCTCATTTCTACAACCTTTATACTCAATTAGTCACTCCATCCTTAAACGTAGATGGCTCTAGGGATACTTTGACATGCACAAATTAACAAAAGGTGCACATAAGATAATTAAGTTAAATCAAGAACTCACCAGTGGCTGCATACGTTTCTTTCCAATGGGGTATTGATATGGATTAGGTGTTGACATAGAAAATGCAGTGAACCACAGTATAAAACCCGATAGCAGATCAAGAAGTGAATCCAACGTGGACGCAATGATTGCTAAAGAACCACTTTTAATAGATGCATAAACCTTTGCAATGAAAAGAATCATATTGGCGATATTTGATATCCTAATAGCAAATGTTTCGCTTCTAGCCAAGCTTTCCCGTTCTTCCTGCAGTAGGGGAACAGTGACCTCAGACACAAATCTGGAGGACATTTCACTTCAAAAGAGCAGAAACTAGCATAAATCATGCTAAGGTAGAGACAGCCAAACTGTTGGCATACACACCTGTGACATCCCAGGAACAAACCCACGCTCAGCCAAGGCATCCATTTCACTAAAACCCTCCAGCATTTCTACCTGCTGCTGATAGTATTCGGCTATATCATCTTCTGGCCCTTAACATATCAAAATAAATAGATATAATTAAGTAATAAAAGAGTAAATACATATTACATGAGAATAATTCAGCTAGAGTAGCTCAACAACAATTCAACCTTCAAGGTAAACAAATAACAAATACCAAAATGCTCATTCGGCACTTCCTAAACTATCAACGCAAAGAAGTTTTAAAATACTAGCCAATAAGAGAAGCAAACTGCTAAATTATAGTATACAAACATTAAACAACCAGAAAACATATGACCAAAGAAGTAAACCTTATAAAAGAATTGCTTCCATCATCAAATCGTATAGCTTCAACTTGACCATTTTCAAAACACACTTCCTTTAACCATAAACTACAAAGTTCTACACACTAGCCAACTAGAAGCAAGAAGCAACAACACAACGAACAAATAAATTAAAATGACTAATAATCAACCGAACTAACTTACTATTACCATACTTCGGAGCTGAGTCTACCCTCTCCATCACACCTGAGCTGCCCGCGGTTGTTTTTCATACAAGTGAAACTCGAATTAGCTAAACCAATACTACCAAAAACTTCAACAGGTACCACAAAGCAGTCTTAAGCTACACCTTTTATACTGATTAAACAGCATCTAATACCTCCACATAGGTCTAATAAGTAATAATTAACCTACAAAGGCTATATAATTTTCAGAATCAGACATGACCGGAATCGAACCAGAAAAGTCGAATTCCCTGTCGACCACTCAAAACTCCATACCACTTATATCAATATACTACATATACAAGCACACAATATAGTCAAAACTGTTAACCAAAAAGACACCAAAAGCATCATCACAAACTATATAAGATAATTTCACATACTAATAGTACACTCAGAATCTATTCCAATACTTAAACAACATTATTAGAAAATCCAAATACAAGAATCTCACCAAAAAAATTACTCAAAACAATCAAAATAAAGAATTATAACCAAAATAGTAAACGAATCATTCAAAACCTTCAATTCCACCAAAATTCACTCCAACTAACTAAATTCAACCAAAAAAAACTATAAAATCCTTAACAAAACCAAAAGTAAATTAACAAATTACCACTAATAATCAAACTTTTTTAAAAATTTCAAAAATTAAGCAGTGAAATTACCTGACACTCCAAGACAATCATGAAGTTTACGAGGCGGTTTTTCCTTATGCTCAGTAGACACTTGATAATCATCAAAGTTCAACCGCCATGACCGGTCACCGGTTGCGCCGCCATTGTCGTAGCTAGTGGGCCCAGCATCGTTAAGCAAGCGTTCGTCAGAAGCGTCATCGTGACGTAAGTCTAGTCTCACCATTTCTCTCATTTTTTCTCCCTCCTGTTTTTCTTCTTCACTGAGAAAGAGGTAGAAAGTGAAAATTTAACCACAATGCAGGGGTATTTTACGAAAATGGAGGATATTTTCGGAGTTGGGCGGAAGTTTGGTGAGTGAAATTGTGAAAATCGTGGGAGGCGGAAAGTTTTGAGGAGGAGAGAGAAAATGGTGGGGAAGAGCTAGAAGAGAGGTTTACTCACGCGCTTCTTAAGGTACGCGCTTTGTGATTCGTTGATGTTGTGACGTGGCGGGATGTGGTTGGTGGAAATGGGAGAGTGAGAGTGGGGAAGATTTGAGAAGATACGAAGGGTTTTGTTTTTTTATTTGGAGTGTATCAAAAGAGAGTGAAAGGAGTGAAGGTGGAGATATTCATGAAGTGGGAAAAAAAGGGTACGTGGAAGGAGGTGAGTGGTTGATTAAGATGTGAGGGCTTTGAAGAGTGATTTAGTGATTGATGCAAATTGTAAGTTAATGTTATTTATTTGTTGAGATGATCTACTAGTTTTGTACTAGAATAATTAAACTTTGTGTTGTTGTTTGTTGAATTGTTGATAATAGTGGTAGTGGTGTATGAATGTTTTGGATAATGTGAGATGTGACAAAGAAATGGAAGGAAAGAACAAAACGTATGTTAGGGAAAAAGAAGTGGGGTATTTCATATTTGCGATAAGAATAGGTTTATTTTATTTTTTTTATTTTTTTGTGTTTTTAAAATTTTGTTCTTGTTCGGCATTAGCTTTTGAATAGCTTTTAATGGTTTAACTTATTCAAATCATTATTTTCGGCGTGTTCGACATTAGCTTTTGAATAGTTTTTAGGAAGCTTTTAGTGGTTTAACCACTCCTTAACAAAAAATGCTAAACACTAATATTTTTTACTAAGGGCGTGTTCGACAAAATATAGCTGTGAAAGAAGCGGATAGTTGTAGTTGTAATTGTTAGCAGTGTAGGAAGCTGTTAGCAGTCAACAAGTTGTTAGTTGTAAAGATAGATAATTTAGATATGAGTGTTCGATAAAGTAGCGGTTGACTAATCGTTACATATAAAAATCAATATTTTTTCGTAAAACTATAAATTAAATTTTCAACAGCTATCTCTAACTTCAAAAGTTAATATTTCTAACTTTTGATAAAAGCTACTTCCACCACTAAAAGCTATCCCAACCATTAAATTGCTAAACACTCATATATATATTTATAACGTGGCATAATGAAAAAGAGTCTAAGTGGTACATAGACGTTTGTAGGAATGCCTTTTAATAGATTAGTATAGATTATGAATTAAAATATTAATTTAATAACAATAATTTGCCAAAATAATCTATATTTTTTAATAAACAAAATAACTTTAATTTTATATGTATATTGATGTTAAGAGTTATTGATTCATTACACTGAAAAGAATGGTGTTCTTCGAACAAGTGTATTAGTTCGATAGAGGGTTCAGAATTAATTACAGAGTTAATTATTCAGTGCGGTCAAGTGATCGAAAAGTCGGGCTAGTGGCCATCTCCAATAATTGAGATTAATATAATTAATCTTACATCTTTCCTTTGATTGAACCCAACGGGTCACACCCAAGCGTGCAACCAAACTAAGACGATGAATTAAGCTAAAGGCTTTAATACGTCGATAAAGATAATTCGTAATCAAATGTCGGATTTCGAGCTTAGAGCATCGGAACCAAGCGTCAAACGTTAAGTCAATTCTTGGAATTGACTAGACGATAAAATTAGCCGAATGACAAATTGTACTAGGCTCGGAAGCCTAATACAAGGCCTTGCCATACCACGAGAGTGGGGCAAGGCCCATGGCGCAAATGCGTGCCAAAGGCACTAACCGCAAAGGCCGAGCATGCTAGCTAGCCTTGTGCGTGCTGGTTGGTGGCCTTAGCACGAGGCCTAGCTAACATGCTAGGCCATGCTGGTAGCAAGGCCGCCCAGAACAAGGCCCAGCGCGCTAGGCTGGCATGTGCATGGGCTGGCCGTAGCGCCGAGCAAGGCTGGCTGCCAACCAACCCTTGCGGCAAGGCCCAGCAGCAACTCACCTTGGAGCACAAGGCAACCAACGCAGCAAGCCTTACTGCCTAAGGCTGTTGTCACTTGCCGGTTTGTGGGCGGACAAACCTTGGTCCCCAAGGTTGGTGGTCCTCCCTCCTACCCTCCTTGTTTTACGCCACTTGTCATTTGCTAATTGGTTCAGGCTTTTAATTTATTTTGGAATTAAATTAAATGCTAGAATTTCACTTTTATTGAAAGTCGCACATGGAAAGATTACTAGGGATGTCAATGGGGCGGGGCGGGTTTCGGCATTCCCATTCCCATCCCCATCCCCTCCTCACATTTTCATCCCCATCCCCACCCCCACCCCCACGGCGGGTCTGAAAATTATCCCATCCCCGCCCGGGCGGGTCCAACTCTAAACCACTCCGCCCCATCCCCACGTGGATATCCATCCCCGTCTCAGCCCCGCATAATCCCCGCCCATCTATACCGATCTATGTAAGTTTTCTTCAATCTCTTCTCAATTTTGCTGAATTTCGAACATGTTCTTCACGAAATTTTCGAAAATTCAAATTGGGTTTTCGTTGTTAGCTCAATTTTTATTGAAATTCTTGTCATGAATTTTCTTGTATATGTTTGTATGTTAGTTTATGAGCAATTTGACTCTATAATTGCTTGATTTGGTGAAGAAACGAACGATCTGCCATTGTTGAACACCCTTAGTTCGTGAGTACAATGTAGTTTATCCTTCATGATTTTTCTTGCTTTTTTGCTCTTGATTTGTTGCAACAATTGTCATAGACTTGTAAGAAAGCATTTTAGCATGCAAAATCCTCATCGTTGTGCGAATCAAAATCATGCTCTGTTTTGTACTTTCGAACTCTATTTTTGACGAACATAGTATCATGCGACTAGGAGAACTTAGATACTCTTAGACAATTAATTTATTGTTGTTATATCAAAAATAGCATGCCTCGTCGCCGCGGTTTTGGTTCACATTCCCGTTCTTCGCACCGAGAGGACGATCCCGTTCGAGAGGTGGAAGGCGATGAGGGTCGCGCTTCTAACAGCCAAGCGTGGTCTCTTCCTGCCTGGGATAAGCACATCTTGGCTTTTGAGCCTGTTCACCACATTTACCAGCGATTTTGCTGGGTACAACAGAGGAGAACATGCGTTGCCACGGCTCGGGCAACGAGACTATCTCGTTTTTGTACCACCACCACATCGTCATGAACGATGCGGTGAGGATTATTTGGGAGTCATGTGGGTTGACTTCCTTACTACGTGCTACTGAGGCCTTCTAGTCTTTTCGGGAGAGCCGTTTCATTCTTCGAGGTGCCTTGGAGTTATTGTTCATAGGGCCACTATAGACGCGAGGGAGATGAACTCAAGTATGAGATCAGTTCGTACTCGCGGCTGCTAGCTCGCGCTTTCGACGACCCCAGGACCACGCCGGAATAGTGGGTATCGCATTTTTGTTCTTATCCTCTTGTTGGGGAATATCTCTCCTGACAGGGGGAGTTGCTCTTTGCTGTGTTATCTGCCCGCCTTGCGTGATCTTTCACGGGTCGACACCTTTGACTGGGCGAGCATTGGCTACGGTGATCTTCTTCTGAGTCTACGGCAGAGATGCCGTCAGCAGCACAGTGGGGTGGAGATCTCCGTCTGCGGTCTCTGGAACGTCATAGAGGTATATCTTCCTTCAATCTTGTGATTTCAACTCAAGTCTCGGTGTTCATTAGTTTTTAGAATTCTTGAATTCTTCGCAGGTCTAGCTCTACGAGTACTTTCCTTTCACTGGCTCCGAGGAGACCTAGGGGCAGAGGGCTTCCAGTGGCCGCTGTAGACACTTACTTTTGGCCTCTGGTCCCGACGGGAAGTTTGATGATGTTACAAAAACTCGTTCTTCATGCTAGATCAAAGTTAAAGTGTTTATGGACTTCGAAATGCATTATGAAGTAAGTTAAAACCCATATTTGAGACCAAATTATCGTAGAGCCTAGTCCGATTACTAATTAGGCCTAAAACATGCTCATACATGTTTAATATTGATTATTAACGGACCTAAATGCATCATATGCAATGATTGGATCAAATGGATCTTACATTGTTGAAAACCGAGCCAATCAGAACATTTAACCACCCAATATATGTTCAAGGCCTGTACAGTTGGATAAGTCTTCAAAGAGCTTTCCAACGGTTATAAGCCCAATTCTGAGTTAAAACGAAGAAGTTATCATCAAAATACTAAACCGGGCCCTAAAACCGACACCCTTGTACTCAAACGACTATATTTTTTGATCCATAACAGATTTTAACCTAATTCTAATGGCATTGGAAAGTAGACATTTAGAGCTTTCCAATTATATCTTATTTTCTTTAATCCGAATTTGCAATCAAAAGTTATGGAAGTTTTAAAAACGCGTTTTCGTATAAGGCAAACCGCACCGCGCGCAACTCTCAAAGTTGTGCGCGCCTGCCGCGCTTAAGTATTGGAGTTGCGCTCAGCACTCCAGCGCGACTTTAAGAGTTGCGCGTGGCACCTGACGCGCGGCTCTAAAACCCTAAATCTAGATTCCTATGTCTATAAATAGGGATCTTCGCTTAGACCTAAACACAACAGAAAAATCAGAATTAAAACCTTAGCATTGTGAAATCCCTAATCTCTCAAACCCTCTTACTATCATACTACTTTTCTCCTCTCTTCCCAAATACTCTCCAACCCTAATTGATTCCATTGAAGCCTTGGAGGTACGAAGATGAAGGAAGGTCTACAAGCATCCAAAACAAAGATCTAGCAAACAAAGGAGAATAGTTAGTTTCTTGAGCACTTAGATGATTCACTTTTCTTTTCTTGTTTAAATAACTTTAATCAATTAATTACTGTTGTTTGATCACTTTAAACAAACTTTTAATTAATTAATTTCACATAGTATCATGCGTTAATTAAAGACTAGAATTGGAATAATTAATTGTTGTTTTATCACTTAAGTCAAGGCGAATATTGTTTATTTCTTGTTTTTTTCACGAATTTGAATAACAAAGAATAACAACATTCGTTGCAATGTAATCTTTATGTGATTAATGCTTGTAAATAAAATCAACTAACTTAGTTTTTAGGAATCGTGTTGCATATATTGTTTAGTGATGAAATTGTTAAAAAGGAAGAGCTAGTAGAGACCGCACTTGGGCTAGGATAGTGATTCCCTCCTAAAGGGAACGATATTTTAGTACTCTCGCTCCCGAACTCATTTCTAGTACAAGTAGACCAATTTGGGCATGGGTAAACTTATGATTCATGCTATCCCTTGAACTCTATTTGGGAGAAAGGCATGAACGAGGTTTATGAGTTTTCCTAAAACTCATTGGCGACTCCCTATTAGTTTCTTACAAAAAAGTGTAATGATGATAGAATCAATTCTAATTCAAGGTCCCCCAACACAGTCAGGAATTCAAATCCTAACACACCTTCAAAGTGTAAAATCCCAGGCTTTTAAAGGGCCATGGGCATAGAGGAAGTGGGATCCCCAACGACGGGCTACCATCCTCACAGTGGCGACTCCGCTGGGGACTTAGAGGTGACAAGATTAGCTTTTGGTTATAGTTTAAGGTTTCCAACTTAGGTTACCTATGAGTTGTAACGAAGGCTAACTTGGATAATCTCTAGTTAGAGA